TCAGAACCAGAGCGATTGCATCATGTGAATGACCTGACCAGCCAGTGCTGACTTTGAAAGTGGAGGAAGGGGCCTGAAGGCCAAGGAATGCAGGCAGCCTCTAAAAGCTGGAAAGCGGAAAGAAGGAAAGTGATTCTCTAATAGAGGCCCCAGGAAGGAATGCAGCTATGCTGACATCTTCAGTTTAGCCCAGTGAGACCTGTTTTGGACTTCTGACTACAGAACTATAAGAAAAGAAATTGGGGCCAGGTGCAGTGGCTCACACTTGTAATCCTAGCACTTTGGGAGGCTGAGGCAGGCAGACTGCTTGAGCCCAGGAGTTCAAGACAAGCTGGGGCAACACGGTAAGATCCTGTCTCTATGAAATATACAAAAAATTAGCCAGTGTGGCGGCACGTGCCTTTAGTACTGACAACTTGGGAGGCTGAGGTAGGAGGATGGTCTGAGCCCGGGAGGCAGAGGTTGCAGTGAGTCAAGTTTGCACCATTGTACTCTAGCCTGAGTGACAGAGTAAGACCCTGTCTCAAAAAAAAAAAAAAGTGTTGTTTTAAGCCCCTAAGTTTATGATAATTTGTTAGAGCAGCAATAGGAAACTGATCCACTGGGAAACCATCTGGGGGAGGCAGCCACCCAAAATTCCTGTGCATGGGTTAGATTCAGCACCATAAGGTTCTCCAGCCTCTCTGTGAAAGACTCCATTCCCACGGGGAAAAGCTCAGACTCTAGAGCCCTGGGCAGGGAATGGGCCTTCATGGCATGGGGAGGTCAAGAAGGATGCCCCCCAGGACAGTGCCTCTGCTGCAGGAAGCAGCTGCTCTTCTGAACCCCCTCCCCACACCTCAGTGAGCTGAGGTGATGGCTCTGAGTGGTCCTGGAGGGGCTTCCCTGAGGTCAGGCCACCTAGGACAGCAAGTCAGAGGCTACAGAGCTTGGCTTAAGACTCCCAGGATGGAGTTGCATGTCCCCTTCACACATCCATAATACTCATAACACTCTCAGTCCTTGGTGTTACTAAGGGCACTAAGTTTAGCTCTGGAAAAGCTAGGACTACCAGAAAAAAAGTTTACAGGGAAAAAAGTTGCTGTGGCTGAGAACGATGGCTCATGCCTGTAATCCCAGCACTTTGGGAGGCCGAGACAGGTGGATCACCTGAGGTCAGGATTTCGAGACTAACCTGACTGACATGGAGAAACCCTGTCTCTACTAAAAATACAAAATTAGCCAGGCGTGGTGGAGCATGCCAGTAATCCCAACTACTCAGGAGGCTGAGGCAGGAGAATTGCTTGAACCCAGGAGGTGGAGTTTGTGGTGAGCCAAGCTTGTGCCATTGCACTCCAGCCTGGGCAACGAGAGTGAAACTTCATCTTAAAAAAAAAAAAGAAAAAAGTTACTGGATGCCAGCCAGATCTGCATAAAGTCCCTGCTCTGCCACGTACAAGCTGTGTGGCATCAAATAAGCCACTAGACCTTTTATAGCCTTAGTTTCTTCATCTGTAAAATGGGTATAACATCATTTGTCTTATCTGACTCACAGGGTGTGTAAGTCTCAGGTGAGTTAACGCACGACAATATGTTGTGCTGCACAGCTTGAGATGCAAACAGTAACGATCACAACCTCACATGTCTTTTGATGGGGTGGGTGATCACAGCATCCTGTGTTAGGAAGGGAAGGGTGAGCACAGACGCTTCAAACTCTGTCTCACCCATAGGGGGGAGGGTGTAGCCTGGCCAGGGAAGAGCAGTCAGCCACTGCCACCACCCTGCAGCTCACACCGGATGTGTGACAGAGCCAACGTGCAGCCCCACAGGATGTCCTCCAACCACTGCAGATGGTGGGGCTTTGCTTTTTTTTTTTTTTTAAGAAAAAGGTTTTCTAGAGTTTCTTCTATATTAAAAACAGTCCCTCCTTCTGATAAAGCATAATTTTACAGGGAAAAAGGGGGAAGTGAAACTATATGCAACACAATTCAAATCTAATCTAATATATAATGTTTTGTGGAATACAGATGGAGGGATACATCACAATACTCAAGGTGATTATGGGTGGTGGGATTACAGGTGATTATACTTTCTTTATATTTCTATAGCTTAAAAATGCTCCATGATGGCCTATAATTACTTTTACTTATTTATTTATTTTTTGAGACAGGGTCTCACCCTGTTGCCCAGCCTGGAGTGCAGTGGTGAATCTCAGCTCACTGCAGCCTTGACCTCACAGGCTCAAGTGATCCTCCCACCTTAGCCTCCTGAGTAGCTGGGACTACAGGTGCGTGCCACCACACCCAGCTGATTTTTTGTAGAGGCAAGATTTCGCCATGTTGTTCACATTGGTCCCGAACTCTGAGCTCAAGTGATCCTCCTGCTTTGGCCTCCCAAAGTACTGGGATTATAGGCATGAGCCACCTTGACTGGGCTATAATTGTTTTTATAATCAGAAAAAATATATATAAATAAATAAGAAAAGTGCCAGGAACTTTCTTCTATGGAGCCACAAACTGGGCTCAAGGAATCATTTGAGCTGGGCTCTGCAAGGGTGGGAGTCTTGGCCTGGGCCCTGGTCCTTGCTGTGTGACTCCAGAGACTCACTACTTTCCCTCCCTGGCCTTTGCCTGGTGAGACAGGATGCTGCACAAGATGATCCCTAGGATCCTTTGCAGCTTAAGAAGTAAAGTGTTAAGCCGGGTGCGGTGGCTCAAGCCTGTAATCCCAGCACTTTGGGAGGCTGAGGCGGGTGGATCACGAGGTCAAAAGATCGAGACCATCCTGGTCAACATAGTGAAACCCCGTCTCTACTAAAGATACAAAAAATTAGCTGGGCATGGTGGCACGTGCCTATAATCCCAGTTACTCAGGAGGCTGAGGCAGGAGAATTGCTTGAACCCAGGAGGCGGAGGTTGCGGTGAGCCGAGATCGCGCCATTGCACTCCAGCCTGGGTAACAAGAGTGAAACTCCGTCTCAAAAAAAAAAAAAAAAAAAAAAAAAGAAGTAAAGTGTTTGCCTTGGTCTTATCCATCCCAGCTCTGTGCCCAGCTTCCAGCGGCTCCTCTGTGCCTGGAGAGAAGGGCAAGCACTTTATTCCTGCCTTGAGGTTACTTACCACTTCCCTCAACAGCCTCGCTCCTTCCAGACCTTCGCTGGGAGTCCCTGCCTCCCGGCCTTCACCTGCATCACAGTCTGCACTTCTCAGAGCCCTGCCTTTCCCTGAACAAGCCTGGTCAAATCGTGTCAGCCTGCTGGCCTGCGGTGACTCTTGGTTCCCCCTACGTCATACATAACAATAGCTATAACTTACTGACATTGACTTCAGGTCACTCAGCAAAAGTGCTCTCATTTAAATCTTAGGCTATCGGAGGATCCATAGACTAAAATGTGAACAGTATCCCCTGGAGTTGCAGAGTGTGGTGACCCTATTTGATCCTCTTGTGCCACTGATATATATATATATATATATATATATATATATATATATATATATATATAAAATACTGAGTTTTGGGTTTTTTTTCAAGACAGAGTCTTGCTCTGTCACCCAGGCTGGAGTGCAGTGGTCTGATCTTGGCTCACTGTAACCTCCACCTCCTGTATTCAAGCAATTCTCCTGCCTCAGCCTCCTGAGTTGTTGGGATTATAGGCTTTTGCCACCACACCTGGTTAACTTTTGCATTTTTAATAGAGATGGGGTTTAACCATGTTGGCCAGGCTGGTCTCGAACTCTTGACCTCATGATCTACCCGTCTCAGCTTCCCAAGGTGCTGGGATTACAGACATGAGCCACTGTACCCAGCCACTGAGGGATATATTATTAACTCAATTTCACTGATAACTGAGGCTCAGAGAGGTCAAGTAACTCGCCCATGGTCACATAGTGGGTCCATGGCAGAGCTGGGAGGTGATCCCTAGTCAGTTCCCTCCAAGTCCAGGATTTCTCAATCCCACAGTGGTGTCTCCCTTAATGATTCTCACATTCCAGCATCTGAGGGCAGGAAGGGCATGTTCTGAGTTGAACACAGAGAGAGCACTCAATGACGACTGGTGGTAAAGATGTTAATCATGCCGGGCGCGGTGGCTCAAGCCTGTAATCCCAGCACTTTGGGAGGCCGAGGCGGGTGGATCACGAGGTCGAGAGATCGAGACCATCCTGGTCAACATGATGAAACCCCGTCTCTACTAAAAATACAAAAAACTAGCTGGGCGTGGTGGCGCATGCCTGTAATCCCAGCTACTTAGGAGGCTGAGGCAGGAGAATTGCCAGAGCCCAGGAGGCGGAGGTTGCGGTGAGCCGAGATCGCGCCATTGCACTCCAGCCTGGGTAACAAGAGCGAAACTCCACCTCAAAAAAAAAAAAAGATGTTAATCATGAATTCAATCAAGGTTTATCATTCAATCAACAAGCATTCCTAGTGTGTCTGGGAGCTCTGGGGGCCAGGGACGGGTCTATTCTAGTTCAGCGCCGTATTCTGGAACTTGACCGTTTCTGGCACATAGCCTATCCTCATCAAATGACATGAATGACTGTCCATTCAAATAACAAAACAATAAATAAATAATATTAACTAACAGGTATGGAGTGCCTACCACAAGCCAGTCACTTCAGGGAGATTCCAGTACATTTGAGGGGAAACATAACACTGTTGACAAGGGCTACAATGTGGAGTTTTACACCAAAACAGTGTTTATGTAAAAAGTGTCTACCAGGCCGGGCGCGGTGGCTCAAGCCTGTAATCCCAGCACTTTGGGAGGCTGAGGCGGGTGGATCATGAGGTCAAGAGATCGAGACCATCCTGGTCAACATGGTGAAACCCCGTCTCTACTAAAGATACAAAAAATTAGCTGGGCATGGTGGCACGTGCCTGTAATCCCAGCTACTCAGGAGGCTGAGGCAGGAGAATTGCTTGAACCCAGGAGGCGGAGGTTGCGGTGAGCCGAGATCGCGCCATTGCACTCCAGCCTGGGTAACAAGAGCGAAACTCCGTCTCAAAAAAAAAGTGTCTACCAAAGAAAGAAAAATGATTATTAGAAACCCTGATCCTTCCCACAGTGCTGGAGGCCATGTCAGCCACTGTCCCTGTTACAACTTGCATATACTGACTGCTGAAGCACATAAACCTGAATTTCCCATCTGCATCCATGGTTCTGCCTGTAAAGATCACATCTGGATACTACTGTTGCCTCTCCAGACTGGATAACCTCTGCTGAGGGCCAGAAGATGATGAAATGTAAACTTGTCATGTTTAGCTTAGAGAAGAGAAAGGAGACTGTCTTTAACACCTGACAGGTTGCTTTTCCCAAGAGGGGCCAGTGGGCAACAGCCCCACACACCCCTGAGGAAGCCTGCTCCAGCTGGCAGCAACCAGTCCCTTCTCTGGAGAAGCAGTGACCCAGTGGACTGCCTGTCCGGCAGGATCCTACAGAGACCTTACTTTGTACAGCGTACGCTCTGCACACTTGCTCACTTGACACTTATTTCAACAACTGTCACCCAGACACTAGGTCTGTGTCAGTAGAGAACGTCAGTCCCCTGGGAGAGAGAGTCAGGAAAGCCTCCTCCTGAGTCTTGGACTCCTACTTACTGTGCATCCTGTAGGCTCCTGTCTCAGCCTCTGCTGAAGGCCATTTTCTTCCTTGCATTCTACAGGGACCAGGCATATGGCAGACAATCAAAAAATACAGGCCTCCCTCAAGAGGGGCTCCTGGGATAAAAGCCCCACCTGAATCAGTGCTGTACAGGGGCCAGGTGTGGCTGGGTCCCAGGCAGGGTCATTTGCAGGGGTCCCTCTGCCCCTTCAAGTCCTACCAGACAGGCCTTGGCCATGGTTTCTTCCTGCCCCTGTTCCCCTAACCACAGTTGATCTTCCCTCGCTGTTATGACATGTCAAAGAATGTCCTGCAATCCTAAATTCCATAATGATCTTTATCTTCTGTTTCCTCTGAGGCTCCTCAATCTGTGGTAACAGCTGTGGTTCAGCAAGCAGTGCGGCTCTGGAGTGCTGTTCTGAAACAGGGCCGGCGTGGGGCAGAGCTCAGTCTGCTGCCCTGTCCATTCTGTGCTGTTCAGGGCTAGAGAAGATTCATGTGTGTATACTTTTTAAAAACTGTGAAACAATAATTATGCAAAAAAATACACAGAACATATGTTCAGTTTAACAAATAATCATATAGCAAAACTATAAAACCACTGCTGGTCTGCAGTGACCTGCTTCCCCCTAAGTCATGCATAACAATAGCTACAACTTACAACTTATTGATCATGAACTTCAGGTCACACAGCAAGTGTTCTCATTTAATCTTAGGCCACCAGAGGCTGCATAGACTAAAATGTGAACAGCGTCCCCTGGAGTTGTGGAGTATAGTGACCCTATTGGATCTTCTCATGCCACTGTTTCCTGTAGAGATGTCCAGCAGAGGCACTGTCCTGGGGGCATCCTTCTTGATGCCCCCATGCCATGGAGGCCCATTCCCTGCCCAGGGCTCTAGAGTCTGAGCTTCTCCAAGAGGGAATGGAGTCTTTTGCAGAGGGGCTGTGGAGCCTTGTCAGGCTGAATCTAACCATGTGCAGGGATTTTGGGCAGCTGCATCCCCCAGATGGTTTCCCAATGGATCGGCTTCCTGTTGCTGCTCTAACAAGTTATCATAAGCTTAGGCGGTTAAAAAAAACACAAATTTCTTATCGTTCTGTAGGTCAGAAGTCCAAAACAGGTCTCACTGGGCTAAACTGAAGGTGTCAACAGAGTTGCATTCCTTCCTGGGGCCTCTAGTAGAGAATCCCTTACCTTCCTTCCCCTTTCCAGCTTTTAGAGGCTGCCTGCATTCCTTGGCCTGTGGCCCCTTCCTCCACCTTCAAAGCCTGCACTGGCTGGTCAGGTCTTTCACATGTTGCAATCTCTCTGGTTCTGACCCTTCCATCTCCCTCTTCTCCATTTAAGAATGCTTATGATTACACTGGGCCCACCCAATAATCCAGGGTAATCTCCCACATGTAAGAGATAAAACAATACTAGGACCCCCAAAGCACCCGTGTTCCCCTGCTAATCACAACCCCAACCTTCCCTTGTGCATGAATAAACAGACATTTGTAATAATTCTGTTTTTTGTAGTGTGACCTCCTCTGCATGTACCCTTAACAATACAGTTCAGTTTTGCCAGCTGTTAGATTTTTGCTAAAAGGAATTATACTGTATGCATTCTTTTGTAGGTTTTACTCATTATGTTGATGAGTCATTCATTATTACAATATTATTATCCATTATGAGAATATTACAGTTGTTGCAAGTCGCTGTAGTTCATTTCACTCCAGGAACACTGCACAGTTTATTTGTACTCTATACTGTGGATGGTCATTTAGACTCTTCCTGGTGCTGGGTGGATATTCTGGTGCACATGGGTAAGAGTGTGGTTAGAGCAGATTCTGAGGAGTGGGACTCTAGGATTATACGGTATATATATATATATGTTTTCATCTTTTAAAAAATTTTATATTATTTATTTTTTTAAAGACTAGTCAAGTGTAGTAGTAGTGAGAAGGGTGAAAAGAGCAGAATGAGGAGTTCAATCTGTAACTGACTGTGAAGTCAATTGAGATAATTCACTATCTTCATTCAAGCCATGTTTTCATCTTTACCAGATCACTTACATACTTTTTTTTCTTTACTTATATACTTTTTAATCCTGAAAGTGTTTCTCAGGGAAAGCAGTGGTAACATGCCCCATTGTCTGGGTAGAAAAAATGGGGTATGTCTGCCCTTACAGTGTGACCTTCCCACCTTCTGTCTTCAGAACCCTGTCCCCTCCATCACAGACAGCCCTGTGCCCTCTGGAACCCACAGGCTGGCCCCTCAGTAGCCTCCCTACCTTGCAGTTGGGTGGGGGTGGGAGGAGGTCAAGAAAGAAGAAGTGAAAACCAAATACAAGGGCTACAGAGAAGTCCGGTCCACAAACCTCAATGTTTCAGCAGCACACACTGTGGGAGAGGAATGTGCAAGCTGCTTGTGGTGCATGCCTTGGAGGTGCCAAGGCGACTGATACAAAGGTGTGCCTCTGAACACACTCACTCCATGCAATGCTCACCCCAACCCTGTGAGGTACATACTGTCCTCCCCAAGTCACAGGATGAAGACACTGAACTGCACGGACATTGAGTGTCTGGCAAAACAGGCATGGGATCTGGGCCTGTTTAAATTGGGTTTAAATTCTGACTTCCCCACTTATGAGTGGTGCAGTCACCTGGGCCATTACCTGACTTCCCTTGGCGTCAGTTTCTACACCTGTAAAATAGGGCTAATTGTCTCACAGGGTTGTTGAGAGAGGTAAAAGACATAATGCGGAGAAGGAGCTTAGCCAAGCGCCTGGCACAAGGGAAGACCCAGTGGAACTAAAATGAGCAGAAATGAAATGAAATAATGACCACTGTAGAGTCCAAGGTTGACAGGGAGGGGTATGGGGGTTGTCCTGGCAAGCTGGGACCAGGCCACCAAGTCAAAGGTGCTGGTCTGGTTCTGTGTGAGGGTGGAACACTGGCCAGGTGGACTCTGAAACGTGGGCTCCTGGGCAGTTCTCCCACTGACCTTGTCTACCTTTGTCAGGAGCTCTCTACTTATCTGTGGCTGCTTCCAAGGGCGGTGATTTCTGACAGAGGCAGCTGGACCTCAGCACATGCAGAAGGTTTCAGCTCAGCATCAGCGCTGGCCTTCAGGAGGCCACATTGGCAGGCAGCAGCAGTGGCAGCCAATGGGCAGCAAAGCTTGTTGCTAAGGTCACTGTGAGCCTTATTTGGCGATATGGGGCTGACCCTTCATTCACCTCTGAGAACCCTGGGAAACGCCAACCACAGATGTGAAATATGAACATCTCAAAACCACAACTGCATTTCCTTTGAGAAAAGATTCAGCTCTCCTCCTCTCCAGCCTGCCTCCCTCCGCTGGATGCCTTTTGTACAGTGGCTCACTACTGCAAGAGACAAGAGCCTAGGTTATAAGAAGAGTCTGCTACAAACTGGTCCTGGACAGGCCTGGACAGGGAGAGGGTAGGGGCTGCCGCACAGGCGGCTCCAGGACCCAACAAGGACCTCCAAGGCTTCCGTTCACACCCAGCAGCTGCCAACCCCTGCCCAAGCCTCCTCCTACACAGCCGTAGAGCCTGTTCCTGGCCCCACTTCCTGCAGCCTTGGGAAGCCGGCTAGCGTGAGGAAGGTATGTGGCACTCGCGGAGGAAGTGGGCCTGCGCTGGGGCTCTCGCCATCTGCACCAGCCACACCGCTTCGGTGCAGTCTGGAGCTCAGACAGTTGGCGGTTTCAGTTTTTCACCTCCCTTTGGTGCATCTTCCAGCTTAACATTAAATAAATAAAACTGTTGCTCCACCCCAGACAAACGTGGGAGGGAAGTTGTGCCTTCAATATTTCCCATATAATACCCACTGCTTCCTCTCATTCATATAGCCCTTTCGGGTCCGGGAGCCGTGCTCACATCTGCCATCTCATTAGATCCTTGCAACCCTGGCAAAGGTAATGACTGAGCTCACACCATGTGTCAGGGATATAAATGAATTCAAAGAATTCACTGTAACTGTTCTTATTTTACAGAAGAGAAAATGAGACAAAGAGAAATTCAGTCATTGGCTCAAGGTCATCACAGAATTGGGATTTTCTCCCAGATGGCTGAGTTCCTAAGTGTGCCCTATTCTCTTCTGGTACATTGCCGCCATGGCACATACACAGGAACGAGTCCCATTCACCAATGAGAAAGCAAGGCTGAGGTGAAAGGGTGGTATGGGGCCTGAGGTCAGGGTTACTTCCTCAGTCTACATCTTCCACAGAGGATGGTCTACCAACGTCCTTCATCTGCCCTCCCCACTTTAAAAACCACTGTCATGTCCCCAGCACCAGCTTGTCTTCTCCTGACCCACAGGCTGAAAGTGGCCTTTCCTTTTAGGGGTGGTCCATGGCGCTCAGTGCCCTGCCTATTTGGAAGAGGCTGTGAAGACCACCTTTGTAGGTAAGTGGGGCAAAGCCAGGGCTAGGGAGAGTGTGCCACATGGGACACCTCCTCCTACCACCTCCCCACGGCCTGCACACACTGGGGACAGTCAAAGCATTCCTCAGGCTGGGGGTAGCAGCTGTGGGCGGAAGAGCTGGGGCATCTGTCCACAGAATCCTCCTGTGAAGTCACTCAGAGAGGATGGGATGCAGTCCAGACTCTGGCGAGCCTAGTGCACACCCCTCTCTGGAGCACTGTACTTCTCTTGGGCTCTTCAGGCCTGCCTTTACTCATGCACACATGTTTTTTGTGTGTACTTCCTGCATGCCAGGCACACCCAGGCACTGGGGACACACAGTGAACAACACAGACCAGATCCATGCCTCACAGAGTTTACTTCCCTGAGGGAGGTAGACATTAGGCAATTAATCACACTGATCTCTGAAAAACACAGCTGCTATGAGAGTGTGCAACTTCAGGGGTCTTAACCTACAAAGAAGTGTGTGGGATAAGGGGTTAGGGCCGCTGTTACCAAGGAAGAGACATTTCAGGTGAGGAGAGCAATGGAGTTGGCAGTGGGGGCCAATTCTCCGTTCTCCCTCATTGCCCTCCTTCCCCACATTCCAGTTGCTCCAGGAAATCTGCTGCTTCCATGAAAGCTTCTTTGCTGGTGTTTTCCAAGCTGCTCCAAAGCAATGCCTTTGCCAGCTGTGGCTTTCAGTGTTTGTGCCTGGGTGACCACAGCCAGCGTAAAATGGCCCAGATTAACCGAGAGCCAGGGCCCCTCCTAAAGTATCTCTGAAAAGTTTTTCAGCAGAAGCATGACATTAGCTTTTCCTAGAGAGGTAACCCCCCAGGGCTGACAGCAAGTGGGCCAGCGTTAGACTAAGCGAGCGCAGCGCTGGGGCCCCTCCATGCCAAGCTGCAGACTGGACACCTTCATTGCCTTTACCCAACATGCTCCCTCACTCCCACCCCTGCTTCTTTCTCCCTGGGGGACTCCCCTTGTGGAAAAGAAACCCCAACACTAGGGGGGGCAAATGAAACTGGAAAATGAAACTGTGATTTCCAGTTTCCTTTTCCAATTT